CTATCTCTATCTATCTATCTATATGTATCTCTCTCTCTCTCTACCTATCTACCTACTAACAACTCTCTCTCTCTCTCTCTCTCTCTCTCTATCTATCTATCTATCTATCTATCTATCTATCTCTATATCTACCTACCTACCTACTTACTAACAACTGTATATCTATCTATCTATCTATCTATCTATCTATCTATCTATCTATCTATCATCTAAAAGCCCTGGTGGGAAATACCTTAAGCTGTGGGCTAATGGTCCATCCGAAATAACTGGAGTTCATACTGCAAGTAGCTGAAGTGATCACGTTTCCTTCTGTTGCTGAAGAGCCATGTCTGAATGCACTCAAGTAATGAATGTGGCATTGATAAAGAATAGTATTGTTTTTCATGGGCTTCCCTGCCAGTTTCTATGGGGATGAAGACGCATTTCCCGTTTGAGTGCTATTTGCTGCCCTCTGATTGCACTTTGTAGTTTCATTCACCAGTAATGGGAAAGCATTCATAGACAGAATCGCTTCCCCTTTTTAAATAGCAATGATTCAGGCTTGATTGTTTTCTTAAGCATTACACTAATGCAGGGTTCTATCAGTGATCTGATAAATGCATAATGCTGTCTTTCTAAGTGTCTGCTGCATCTCCACTTTCTGAATTGAAATGATATACTATAATTATGCTGGCCTTGGGAAGAAGCGTTGCATTATATAGTAAGTTTTATAAGGTCGGTCTAATCTCACGGTGAAAGCCCACATTTATCAAATCTTAATGCCGTCATTCCCACAGCTAGAGTTGGGAGAGGGAGACAACAAGCAGTTGCTGGAAGTCGAGGTACAGAATTTGTGGTGCCGGTAACTAGCTGCTTGAAGACTTGAAAGGTCGTGTCATCTCAGCTTATACTGTAGGCTTTGACAATTACCGGCAATGGCAGCTGTACGTTTTAACTGTTGATGGCATTTGTCTAATCTGGAAATTCAGCACAGCTTCTCCAATTCTTTGCACATCGTACACCAGGGGTGTCAAACTCGATTTCATTGAGGGCTGCATCAGGGTTGTGTTTGACCTCGGAGGGGCCGGGTTGGGTGTGGCCAGGGTGAGTATGGCCAGCTCAACGTCACTTGGGTGGGGGGTGCCTGTGGTAGCCTGAGCGCCCTGCCATTGAAAATGGGCTCCCGAGGTCTTTTTTTGGCGTCCTGCAACCCTCTGCCAGCGAAAATGGAGGCATCGCGGGACAATCCTTCGCTGTTTCCAGGGTGGCCCCATGGGCCAGATCTAAGCACCCCGCAGGCTGGATCCGGCCCCCAAGCCTTGAGTTTGACACCCCCCGCCTTACATCATTTGGAGAAAGAAAAAAAGTGAGATTGCATTTCTTGACAAGGGCTGCAGGAATGGGAGATCTCCTGGGAAAATTCAGTCCCCTTTGGCCAGACTTAGAAAGTTGAAAATGCCTCCTGGGGAAAAAAAATAATGCTAAGGAAAAGGCATGGATGCAGTTGCCAGGAATTGAGCTTGATAGGAGGGTGTCTTCATTTTTTCAGGTGAGTAGTGCCCCTTGGCCATAAGCATTGGACATGGGGAGAGACAGGGACCAATCTATTTTCCTGGCTTTTGGAGAAGAACCTTATTCTTTGCCTGGTTTTTTTCTTCTTCTTTCAGAGTTGGATAAAAGTTACCTTGCTGTATACCAGTTACGAGAAGGTCAAACAAACCAGTCCTCTGGATTGTTGGCTATTAGTTCTGACTGCATGGTGTACCTTATAGCGGGGGGTCTCCAACTTTGGCAATTTTAAGACTTGTGGACGTCAACTCCCAGAATTCTGGGAGTTGACGTCCACAAGTCTTAAAATTGCTAAGATTGGAGACCCCTGCCTTATAGCAACAATTGCCCTCAATTAATGCAAAACTTGCTTGAGGAAGGTCTCTTTTCTGGAAACTTGTTTGTTATTATTTTTATAATGGACGAAGTGTTGCATGTGTGTAGAGGAGAGGGAGGGAGGGAGAACGAGAATGTACGTGTGTAACACAGATGTTGATCCTCGTTGTATTTGCTTTGGTCCCCTCCATTCAGCGGTATGAAAACATGGCTACTGCTCCTTTGTTTGATCCTGCCAGCGATTACAGTAAAACAAGTGGATTAATGCCAGCTGTTGTTCAGTGGTCTAGTTTTAAACAATCTGCTCTCTTCTGAATGCAGGTCCTTGATTCTTAAACACAGCAGAGGATTGCATTGTGTCCGTCTGTTCCCCCATTGCCCCCCCCCCCTTTTTTTATTTTGCTGGTACAAATCCGGTGCAAGGATACAGTAGTAGCTATTGCAGTGTGTGCATTGTTGAAAGAGGCAGCAATGTAACAAAGGAGAGCCACCCTTTCCTTCGTCAACCTCACAGTAATGTTGGGCATCAGATATCTGGGATGAGAGGGAAGAGCTGAGAAAAATAAAAAGAGGGAGGGAGGGAGCGACGTTTCGGCAGGGTTTTATCTTGAGGAACAAAATTGGAAGAATGTAGAGGCCCGGGGAGATTCTTTTTAAAGGTAACCAAGGCTAGAACAACAAGGGGAGAGAATGACTAAACAGCATGTTTCTACCATTCTTTCTAGTCCTTTTACCAGTGGGCGCCCTAGGAAATATCTGATTCTTGTTCTGGGTAGGTGAACACATTGCCTATCACTCTTGTGTGTTTTTCTGTCTCCTTCCTCTATTCTGTGTGTGTGTATTGTGAAGGGCAGGGTAAGCTGTGTACAGGTTGTCCTCAGCCTACGGCCACGACTGAGCCCAGAATTTCTGTTGCTAAGTGAAACGTTTGCTCAGTGAGTTTTACCCCGTTTTACGACTTTTCTTGCCCCAGTTGTTAGGTGAATCATTGCAGTTGGTAAGTCAGTAACACGGTTGTTACTAATCGAAACCGGTTTCCCCATTGACTTTGCTTGTCAGAAGGTCTCAAAGGGTGACCCTTGGACACTGCAACCGTCATAAACTATGCCAAGCACCTGCATTTTGATCATAGCAGTGGCCTAGAGGTGGAGCTCTCGTGTCACAATCAAGAGGCTGTGAGTTTGATCCTAGATAGAGGCAGATATTTCTCTCTCTGGGCACACTGAGAATATATCTGCTGAATAAAACTCTGCATTGGTGACAGGAATGGCATCCGGCCAGTAAAATTCAGGTGCCCAGACTCCACCCCACAAGGGATTATGGCATCATTAAAAGAGGATTTTGATCATATGGCCATGGGGAATGCTACAATGGTTGTAAGTGTGAAAAACTGTCACAAGTCACTTTTTCAGTGATGTAACTTTGACCAGTCACTAAACGAACTGTTTGTTGTAAATCGAGGGCTACTGTATAATCTGTGCTAGAACTAGGAGGAATAAAGATTAATTAGAATGAAGCAATCAGTCACTGTCCATCTACCTATCTCATTATTTTTTTTTCTGGAAAGTTTTTCTCTGTAGCCCCAAGATGGATCTGACTCACTTTTAGTTTTTGTTGATTTTTTTCCCACCATGCAAAATTTGGTCCTTTTGTGATCAATTTTTGGAGAGTTACCCATCTTTGATGGACCAGTAGGGATTCTAAGCCCCTTTACATGATTTCTTTCTGACAGTCCATTCAGGGTGCGGGGAAAGGGAATGTGCTGTGGTTTCTGGTTTTGTTTCATGCAATAACAGGCAATTCATTAGTGACAGTGTTAAAGGTTAATCGGTATTTAATGAAAGGGACACGTTTAAGCAATCCAGAAGCTGCCATTGGAAAAATAGATTTATAATAAATCTCTGCATGTTTAATGTGATACGTGACTTCATTTAAGCGCATGAGTTTAAGCGGGTTATCCAGCTTTTCTATACCTTTTAGGGATATTTTATTTTCTCAGGGCTAATAGGAATGGTTATATTCCCAAAGAACTGATCTTCACGATTGAGATCAGCTGTAATAAAAGTTGGTTTGATTTAGTGCAGTGGTACAGTTTTTGCAGATACTGAGCTCATACACTTGGATTTTACGAGACCATCATTCACAGGGACTAGGAGCTGTTTACTGATTTCTCAAGCATGGGGAAAGCTCTAACTCAGTTATAAAGCACATGCTTTCCTTGCAAAAACTGCCAGATGTTATGCTTGACATCTCAGAGTTAGCTTACGTGTGACCCAGCAGAGTGACTGACACCTACTACTGACAGTATTAAGTAAATGGAATAACCCCAGCCTGTATGATTTGACTGAAAAATCTGACTGCACTCTCTTTCTTTATATACTGTATATATGCTTAGAGATGTATATCTCTACCTTTAAATTAAAATGTAAGCCAAGTTTTTAACCATATGCGGATGGTGAGTCAAATTAGTTTCAGGGAAGGATCCAGTTCATGTGGGCGCTTGGTAGGCAGTCAGCCTTCCTTGTGCATTTATCTGAATGGATAATTCAAGGTGGAACTTCAGGCTATGCTATAGAGATGGCCTAGATTTGCAAGTTTCCCATCTATTTTTGGAAACAGCTGGCCAGAGTTCCTAAATAAGATGGGCAGCCATATAATTTTTCTAAATAAATGCCTAAGGAACAACAATGGAAATCAAACATATACACCGCATTTTGTATGACACACCTTAATGGAGTATTAAATGCACAAAATGATAAGCATGAACGAGATTTATGGAGACAATATGGAAGACAGGTTCAGATGAAAAGACACCCATAGAATAGAAGCTACGGGTGTTACCATTTATAAAAAAATAACCTGGTCAGATTGCTACTTGATATGCCCTCTGCTTCTAACCCGGATCTAACCCAGAACATCTCCCGATAACCATGCTTTTTCCAGAATGGGGATGCTCTTCAGAGTTTATAGCAACTGCTCCTTTGTTTATTTTCTGGGTAAAACGGGAGGATGGGGGAAACCCGGTGGGTATCGATATGCACCCCAGCCCGAGTGAATAGTCTTGCCTTTTCTTTGATACCACATATGATTCGTTGTCACTGAGTCTACTCTTTGGTTTGTTGTTCCTTGCTCTGCAGGTCTAGAGTGAAACTGGAGAGCCTTGAAGATGCTTACATATTGCGAGGAAATGACGACTCCCTTTCTGACAAGCATGGATGTCCAGCCTATGTGAGCCCAGAAATCCTGAACACCAACGGCAGCTACTCCGGCAAAGCAGCGGACGTGTGGAGTCTAGGGGTCATGCTGTACACAATGCTAGTGGGACGCTATCCGTTTCATGACATTGAACCCAGTTCTCTCTTCAGCAAAATCCGCCGTGGCCAGTTCAGCATTCCAGAGACTTTGTCCCCCAAGGCGAAATGCCTTATACGTAGCATCCTGCGCCGAGAGCCCACAGAGAGGCTGACTTCGCAGGAAATTCTGGACCACCCTTGGTTTTCCACAGATTTTAATGTGTCTAATTCAGGATACGGTGCTAAGGAAGTAACAGATCAGCTGGTGCCTGATGTGAACATGGAAGAGGATTCAGATCCATTTTTTAACTAAGCATCAGGACTTGTAATGGGTAATGCATGGTCCAGAAAGGACAACGTGTGAAGGGAGACCTTTCTGAAAACGCAGAATCATATCTCTCTATCATCCTGGCATGATAGCAAAAAAACAAACAAACCCGGACCTATTTGGAGGAAGCTTTTGTTTTGATTTTTTTTTAAGGCTGGAGAAGGAGCGCTCAAGAACCAATGTAGCCCATGAATGGTTAAACAGGAGGAATTGTTGCTATCAGGTTAGACCGACATCGAAAAACAAAAAAGGAGGAGGCAGCAGCACGGAGCAGCTGTAGCTTCTCGTCTTTATATGGAGCCAAGGACACTGCACACCCAACGTTTCTGAGGCAGCCACTACTACACCACTCCTGATTCCATTTCATTCAAACACTTACGATTCCCAGTGGACAGGAACTCTTGCATTTTGGCATCGCACTGTTAGATAATTTTAATTTCAGTCCTTATTCAGGGAAGGTACAATTAGCTATTATTTTGTTCCTTGGTTTCCTGTTTTCAGAATCAGATGTTTGCCAGTGGGCTTCATCTTCAGGAAGGTGGGTGGGAAGTGCACAAAGGAAAATATGAGAACTGAATGCTAAACAAGGTTTTGGAACATGTCTCCGAATTCCTAGTTTTAAATTGACAGATATAAGTTAACCTTTTTTGGGAGGGCGGGGGAGTAATGATGTTTGGAATGTTTTTATTTCTTTGGAGGGGAAAAATTCTCTCCTAATTAGTTGTATTCAGATGTTCTCATCAGAACCTTCAGAAGACTCTTTGATCTAGTGAGGGCAAGTTTGATGATGGAGCAGTCCCTCTCCGCTTGCCACTTGAAGGGATACTCCTAGAAAATTATACAAGAAACTATACACAGTAAAATAAATCTGTAGCGATGACTCTCCCCACCTTCTATCGATAGCAGTGTCCACTGGATCAAAGAGCTTTCTATAAGCGGAGTAGATGCGGCTGAATACAAAAGCCGTTGGTTTTGGTGGGCTTGTTTTTGGGTTAGAGCTTTTATTGCAGGGAGCCAGAAATCGGACTTTCTCACCATGCTAGCAAAAGACTCTAGAATTGTCTTCTTTGATTATTCAAAGACTGTTGAAATACTGGCTTTTCACCTTGACCCACTGCATATCAAGTTGACCAGGTTGGGGCCAGAAGGATCTCCTTTGGATTATTCAAAGAAGGAAACACATTTGATCTTAGAACCAGCTAAGTCTCTACATGATGACCTGAATATGAACAGAAGGTGGATCTTTCAGAAGCAAGAAGCATATGCCACCTACCCCTGCCCCAAATATCTTGGTAAGGCAGTGGCTTAGGTTCTTTTGCTTTCATTTTTGACTTGCAAACAAGGATGCTCTTTTATTTTTCTGTTTATTCACCTGTCAATAAGCTGAACATTGCTGGGACACAAACCTATCTCCTGAAAACTACATTGTAATATGCACCTTTTTTATTGTCAAGATTTTATTTATTGATGAATCTGTCACAGTTGTGATGAATTTAAGCCAGTACTTCAATTACGGGTTGACTTGGGGTGACATGTTACATGCTGTAGTTAACAAACTTGTATTTCTCTTCAGGTATTCCTGTCCCTAACTGACATATTTTAAACCCGCCCACCCCTCCTTCCCTCCTGCAATTCCACCCCTTTGTTAAAGCTTTCATGTTGATTTAGACTGGCAAATGATTTTTATTAACTGCTTTTTATATTGCTATATGACATTGGAGGAAACAGCGGAAAACCAACACATCTTTTTTTTTTTTTTTTGGCATAGCTATTTGTGTTTCCAGTACCTCAGCTGTTCTGATGTTACTGCCTGTATGCGTTTTTGTGAAGTGGTCCTGTTTTTTGGATAGGTACATGTGGACTCTGTAGTTTGTAAATGTTACTTGAATTTTGTGCTTAATTATAGTCTGTGGCATGTGCGTACAGCTACTTGGCATTTGACGTATGAATGCTCTTCGCCTGCCCTGTGGGAAGGTTTTGATCCCACTCCCCGAGATGATGGTTCAGAGTTCCTTATCAAGAGACAAATCTGCAGCTAACCGGCCTTGCTTCTATTTTGGTATCTGAGAATATAAAAGAGTAATGTTTTTACACTCTGAAGATGGTGCTGTGTTGAGGGACTTCTTCTTCTTTTTTTTTTTTTAAAGCATTTATTTTATAAACTCGTAGGAAGAAAGATTGGTGATGTGCATGGTGGGATTTTACTGCCTCTGGTGCTTTGTCTTGTATTTGGTTTTATGTTTTTGTCCTAATCTCTTCAATAAACAAAATTGTGCATATTTAACTAAACATAACTTGTGATGGCTTTTTTCCCTCTCCCCCTTCCAATCCTACACCAACCATGGCTAATTTCAGGAAAACATTGCTTGTTGCCTATTTTTAGGATAAATATTTATTAAATTCATATGCAGCCCATCGTAGTATTAAGTGGCTCTGGGTGGCTCACAACATCATAAAATAACATATCGAACAATTAGAATGTTAAAAGCATTAAAAACATGGAGCATTACAAGTTAAAACATTAAAACATTAAGATTTACAACAATGGATTTAAAAGAGACCAATATGTAAATAGGATAGAATTGGGGAATCATCCCCTAATTTGCTAACCACCTCCAGAATGAGACATCCCCATCAGGGCCGCATATGTTTATCCCATTTTTGTTTGAAATTCTGTCTCATTGGATAACTTTATTACCTAAGCAAGATTCTTTCCGCCTAAAGCAGGGCTGTCAAACTCCTGGTCTGCGGGCTGAATGCATCACGCGCTGGCCTCGCCCATGCCCGGTTTAGGGAAGGAAAAAAGTCCCAATATGTCACGTGACGATGCCATGACGATGCAAGTTTGACACTCCTGGTCTAGAAGTATCACCCAAGGAACTAACCAATGGTTAGATAGGTGTGGATGACCATAATGGGACAACTCACCATGGCCAACTCATCGCGACCAACTTGCCACAGCTAACTTGCGGCAGCCAACTCGCCACGGCCAATTGACTGCAGAACAACTCGCATGACCAACTCGCCGCTGAACAATTTTAATTATTTAAAATAATGTAAAAATTATTACAATTTTTGTCATTCACATTTTGTCCCTCCTTTGTCATCCTTTTATTATATTCTACCATTTCTTCAATATTGGTGTAACTCTTGTTCCACAGCAAATTTTCCTATGGCAAGTTGTCCTAGACCAGTGGTGGCTAACAGAGTGCCGAAACGGGAGCAAGTGCTAGAAACCAGAAGAGCAGCTCCCTGATGCGCATGCACAGGAGCGCTGGAAACCAAAAGCTTAGCTTCCTGGCACGTACATGTGCGCCGGCCACCTGGTCTTCCAGTTTCTAACGTGCATGTGTGCACGAAGACCAGCTGGCCAGCTTGCGCTTGCACTCCAGGGAACTGCTCTTTAGGTTTCCGGCACTTCCGTGTGCGCGAAGACCAGCTGGCTGGTGCACATGCGCACACTGGAACCTAGAAGAGCAATGGGCAACAGCTGGCATGCCCGGAGTGATGGCTCTGCATGCCACTTCTTGCATGTGTGGCATAGGTTCGCCATCATGGTCCTAGACCCATGGATGACAGTCCCATACATTATATTTGTCTGTATTATGTTACATTAAAGTCAGAGTTTTCCTTCCATATAAAACTGTCAGCCTTAAGTAAATAGCCTCTCACGGGATATAAGTGTATGACTGAAAGATGCCATTAGTAGTAGTCCTCTGTATCATGTCAATATAGTCCTTGAATACTCAAGCAAAAAGGTAACAATATTAAACCATGCACATGATGGGGAAATTCTTGGAAAATACAAGAGACATTTGTTCCTTGGAAGGCCAGGACCAATCCCTGAGTTAAAGGGATTGATGGCTCTGCTCCATGTAACTTAAATCTATGTGTAAGCTTGAGTTAGGCAATGTGTTCAGCCTGTGGCTCATTAAGCAATTTTCTGCCCTGCTTGAAGGATCTCAATTGCTATGGCCAATCCTGCTGCGACACCACTAGCAAGAGTAAAGTCAATATTATCGGACCTATATTTAGTGTTAAGGGGCTTAGGGAGAATAGGGAGAAAAACCAGGATTTCAAAGAGGCTTAAGATGCCCATTTTGCAGTTTTAATGGTAAATAGCTGTTCTTCTTTGGAGAAGGACTTAAGTTTAAAGGAGTTTAAATTTACAGTCCTTTCATTCTACAAGTTCATAGCATTAGTTTAACTCTTTCATGACACCACCACCCCCACAATGCAAAAATAGGCTCTAAAAAAGTTGGCTTTACCTCTCCTGGGCTGCAACTGAAGTATCGGGTGCACCAAACCTGTGGGACACCCTGCCTATAAACTTCAAAACCCATGTAGTCCTTAAGTCACACTTGAATAATACAATGGATGTACTGGGTATTTCTACACAAAACATGTTTCATTAAAACCTGCTTCAGGATGTGGTCATCTCCTCCCCCCTCCCCCCCGGATGGTCACATGGCCACATTTTGGGTTCTTGGCACCTGGTCCCTATTGATGACCATTTGCAGAATCCCATAGTCATGTGACTGTGATTTACAATTTTTTTACCATTTTTCAGCTGAAACGCCTCATAGCGAACAAAATAGGTTTACTCAATGACCACGGTGTTTGCTTTAATGACTGCAATACTTGCTTTCTGACCTCTTCATGTAAGAACTTCTGCAAAACAAAAACAAAAAAAGGAAAATCAGGTGGTTCACATGATGATCCACATTATGACCATCACAATATATGACAATAATTGGCATTATGGTCATAGGTCAAGGACTGCCTGTAGCTATTTTTCTCCAATATTTTCTCTGGAGGAGCTTTTGACTCAATTGTTGCCAAATATTTCTCCTAAAGAGTAGCAGCTTAAAAATTCACTAATATTCAAACCTGGAGAGGAATTTTAAAATGAAACCAGGATTTCAGCTACGTTCCAATTAAACTCCCTACAATAAGTATTTATTGAATTTATATAGCTGCCTGTCTCGCAAACAAGTGGTGCTGGGTGCTGTACAAGTTTGCTTTTTTTAAAAAAAAAGATGCTGCCTCCTTTCTGTTTTTTGAAGAGCAGCTTACGTGAGAGTATTTGAATTTCCTTCCCATTCCCAGTTTGAAGAGAATGAGAGATTATTTGCGCCTCCTTGTTTTCCAACATTTCTTTAGTCCACCTACTTCTTTGGAGCCTCTCTGAGTAGCTTCTGTTTTGTTTGGGTGGAAATAGTTCAGAGTATTCGTGTTTCCTCTCCACTGCCAATAATTATATAAAAATGCGGCTGACTAATAGCTGTTCATTTGCAGGGAACTGCATTAAACATTTGAGGCCTATTTTATGCTGGAATGAAGACAGCCTTTTGCCTGAAGGAGCCAATTTCTTAATAGGAGACATATTGTAAAAACCTTCTTCTCCACGTAGGCTGAATATACCTATTTTGACACATGAAGGAGATTCAGGTTCCCATATCTTAAAAATAATACAGAATAATCAAAAATAATAATTGGGGGGAAAAAGTGAAGAAGTTCAAATATAATTGCTGCAGCAAAGTAGGCATTATCTAACATAGACGTACATGAGGATTGGGTACAGGTGGTCCACAAGTGAGCCTCAAATTTCTGTTGCTAAACGAGACAGTTAAGGGATTTTTGTCCCATTTTACAACCTTTCTTGATAGTTGTTAAGTTAGTAACATGGCTGTTAAGTGAATCTGGCTTCTCCATTCGCTTTGCTTGTCAGAAGGTCACAAAAGGTGATCACATGACCCCGAGACACTACAACCGTCATAAATACATGTCAGTTGCCAAGCGCCTGAATTTTGATCACGTAACCACAGGGATGCTGCAAAAGTCATACGTGTGAAAAATGGTCATAAGTAACTTTTTTTCAGTGTCGTCACTTCAAATAATCATTAAACAAATGCTTGTAAGTGGAGAACTACCTGTATTTACAATTTGCCTCTTTCTGGAAAACTGGTTTTTGTACCCAACAGATTTCCTGTTTATCAACACATAAACTTTTATGTATGGTATAATGTATAAATGTTTGCAGAGGTGTTTACAGAGTTGAAGTTAATTTGAATCTCTGAATCAAAATTATTCATTTTATTAAGAGGTGGTATTCCAGCTGGTTCGGACCAGTTCTGGCGTACCAGTAGCGGAAATTTTGAGTAGTGTGGAAGAACCGGCAAATACCACCTCTGGCTGGGCCAGCCCACCCACTCCCGCCATTACCTCTCCTATATTCCCTTGTTTTTTCTAGCTCAGCTGATTTGCACGGCAGAGCGGAATGCCGCGCCTCAGCTGAGCTAAAAAACAGCTCAGCTCACCAGCGTTGATTCAGAGGGCGGTCTTTGAGGCCTCCACGTGCACGTGAACCAGTAGGAAAAAAATTGGAAACCCACCACTGATTTTATTGGTTGAATACTTATACAAATGTAGAAATATCTTTATCCAAACTAAACAAGTGTTTCATTTTGAAGTAACATTTTGAATAGGATGAGAGATTATTTGCACATCCATAATGTATAATGAGATGCATACAGTACATATGTGTGTATGTATATACAAACAAAAATATCCAAGAAGTTTGTAGCGTAACTGCACAACTGATACTCCGATAGTGCTCAGCAAATCTTCCGATTCCTCAGGATCTTGTCAAAAACGTGTGCATGACTCAGCCTTAAGCCTTAATTATAACTAACGCATATAAAACTACAGAAATGAGGTATGTCAGTTGGAGGCAGATGTTCTGGTTGTGGAACCACAATCTAGGAATGCTTTAGGACAAGTGACAAAATCCATTGCAAACATTACATTTAAATTTTAATTAAATTCAAACCAGCTCTGATATTCATTGCTGGCTGGATTTTGCTCTTTTCACCAATATGGCAAAATCGGCATTGCACTGCTGCTCAGACAGTTTGATATCCTGGAACAAAGGAGTGATTTAAAAAAAAAAAAAAAGGTTATTTCCCATTCTATTACAGGTGGTCCTTGACTTACAACCATTTGTTTAGCAACTGTTCAAAGTTGTAACAGCACTGGAAAAAGGGACTTAGGATCGTCCCTCGCTTTTAGGATCATACCAGCATCCCCATGTGATCAAAATTCAGGTGCTTGGCAACCAATATGTATTTGTGACAGTTGCAGGATCCTTGGGGCCACGGGATCTCCATTTACAAATTTCCCAGCTGGCTTCCAACAACTAAGGTCAATGGGGAAACCCAGATTCATTTAATGACGGTGTGATTCACTTAACAACGGCAGTGATTCAATTAACTGTGGAGAAAAGGTCA